TTTTTTTTTTTTTTTTTTTTTTTTTCTATATTATATACACGTTAAATGTTGCGAACGTTAACGAATCTCAAAACAATTGCGGTAAAACGGTGTAGAGAGAAGGGAACGGTATATATATGGGGAGAAAGATATTTTTAAATATTGAAAAATTGAAATACGATTGAAACAAGGATTGACAGTTGATCGTAAAATCTGAAAATCCTGGATTCCTTGTGCTCGAGGAGGCGAGTCGAGCGGCATGTCCTACCACGAGAAACCAGGTCACTTCCTGTTCTGGTCTGCCCCGCGACCGCTTCGATTTCAAATCGAGTGGTCGGTGGCTCACGCCAGCCGGGCCGATGAATCGATTTTCTGCCGAGTCCGCTTGATCGGCATCTGCCGATGCTTGCATTTCCGCGTACGCGTTCCCCTCGCCGAACAAGAAAGAGAGAAAGAGAGAGGAAGCGAAAAGCGCGTGAAGCGCGACACCACGGAAAGGGAGAGGAGCAACAGTATATATATATATATATATATATATATATAAATATATATACCGCGTCAACGGAATTTTTCCTTTTCTTTTCTTGCTTCTTTCTTTTTTGTTTGTTCTTTTCTTTTTCTTTTCTTTTCTTTTTTTTTTTTTTCGCCACTCGACGATATTTCGAAACGCATCTACGTGCGTCACGAGTTGCCGTCGAAAGGTCAAGTTTAATCACGTGGTCATCATCTTCGATCGATATATCCGTTATCGATTCGTCCCTGTCAGGTGTCGACTATCCAACGTGGAAATCATTCCATTTCCATCCGTGGAAATTTCCAGAGGGATTATTCGAACGAAATATTATTTTTTAACTTGTTATTAAAGAGAAATTCCTCGAATTTAAATCCGTTTACGTTGTAAAAAAAAAAAGGCTTCCCCATTTAATTTTACAGCCCTGGCATTTTGCAACTGGTCGGATGTGCAGAAAGCCCGAAGGGAGATGCTTCGCGCGCACACCTTTCCCCGCGCCTTCTCCACGCGTTTCAACGAGCTGAACGGTATAATTGGCGATGAGATGGAGTTTATGGTGAACCATCTGGACTCCTTGTCGGGCACGAGCGTTCACGCGAAACCGTTGATCCTCCATTGCTGCGCCAACATCTTCATCACCTATCTTTGCTCGAAGAACTTTCATCTGGAGCACGACGGTTTCCGAAACATGGTCGAGAACTTCGACAAGGTGTTCTTCGAGGTGAATCAGGGATACGCGGCCGACTTCCTGCCTTTCCTTATGCCTCTCCACCACAGGAACATGGCAAGAATGGCGCACTGGAGCCACGAGATCCGAAGATTCGTCATCAAGAACATCATTGCGGACAGATTGAACAGTTGGAACGACGTCGTGCCCGAGAAGGATTACGTGGATTGTCTGATCAATCACGTGAAGAGCGGGACAGAGCCCCAAATGTCCTGGAACACGGCTCTCTTCGTCATGGAGGACATCATCGGTGGCCACACGGCTATTGGAAATCTCTTGGTCAAAGTTTTAGGCTTCCTCGCGACGAGACCTGAGATTCAGAGATTGGCGCAGGATGAGATAGATGCTCTCGGCCTCGCGGGCAACTTCGTAGGATTGGAGAACAGAAGATCCTTGCCTTACGTCGAGGCCATCATCCTGGAAACTATCAGGATAATCGCCAGCCCCATTGTCCCTCACGTTGCTAATCAAGATAGCTCTATCGCTGGTAAGTGGTAACAATACCTCTATTTTTTATTTCATCACGTTTGCTTTGATTTACAACCAATTAAAAAAAAAAAGAAAGAAATTTATCGATATCGATCCATCTTCTTCTTCCTCAGGTTTCAGAATCAAGAAGGACACGTTCATCTTCCTGAACAATTACGATCTGAACATGTCCACCGATCTGTGGACCAGCCCAGAGGAATTCATACCGGACAGATTCGTGCAGAACGGAAGATTGTTAAAGCCTGAACACTTTCTGCCTTTCGGCGGTGGTCGTAGATCCTGCATGGGCTACAAATTGGTCCAATACGTGAGTTTCGCAATCTTGGCAAGCATTCTGAAGAACTTCACGATAACGCCCGTGCAAAAGGAGGATTACACGATCCCCATTGGGAACCTGGCTCTCCCCGAGATGACGTACAAATTTCGATTCGAGCGGCGGTAGGGCTTGAACTGGGTCGTGAACAACGTTGTAAGTCCTGGAGAAAATAGGGGCTGACCCACGAGGGATTTCAAGGGTTGCTTCGACGAAGCTTCGAAGAGAAAGAGAAAGAGAGAGAGACAGAGAGAGAGAGAAGGAGAGAGGGAAGGAACTCGAACGATACAAGGCAACTGATACAAGGATGGATCGTTGGATGAACGAACGATTCTTGAGAGGACATCCAGGGAAGGAGATTCAGAAGCGAAGAGAGATCAGCTGAAGAGAGGCTTCTGATTTGTTTTTTTCTTCTTCTTCTTCTTCTTCTTCTTCTTCTTCTTCTTATTTTTTAGACAAAGCTTTATAAGAAGGTCGAACAACGTTAATGATAATAAGGGTGAAAAAACGAAGATTCGACCTTCGTCAGCAACGAGAGCTTTACTGACATTACTAGATGGTTAAGATAGTAAAATTGTTGATCGTCCGCCGACGAGTGGAACACTCCGCCGACGCCGCCCCTTTTTTTTTTTTTTCCTGAAAAAACGGTTCGTAGACGATCATCCGCGATATCAGGAGAGAAAACTTGGACTGAAAAGAAGAGAATTCCGCGTTGACGGGATGCTGCTGCGAGAGAAACATTGTCCTTGTCGGAGAGAGCAGCTTAGGTAAATCGTAATCTTACGAGTAATCATCATCTTCTTGTTGTTTCTTATTAGAATCATCGTGCTTACGCGTAGTTTCCTTAATGGAAATGGAAAAATGAAAAAAAAAAAAAAAAAAGAAAAAATGAAAGGACGAAATCTTTTAATAGCAGGATCAATCGTGTTATCGGATACCGATTGCAAATATCCTGAGATTGTTTTCTCTCGTAATCGATGATCCTTTGATCGAACGATATCGATTTCGTTATTTTTTTCTTTTTTCAGTAGTTTCTTTTCTTCTTTTCTCCTCTTTCTTTTTTTTTTTTTTTTTTTGTCTAAATTTTTCTCACGCTAAATCACGAGCCTTATCGATCGATTTCGAGGGAACACGATAAATCGGCCGATGATTCACCTGGATCAAAAATCAGCCGAGATTCGCGGAATTCGTCGCCTGTTTGATCGAACGATCACGTACACACGATCTGTCGTCTGATAACCTCGCTCGTTCGAAAGACGAGACCCGAGAACGTGAGCGGTAAGCCGAAGACGAGATGATTAGGAGAGAACGAAACGTCTCGCGGCCCCCCAAAAAGGGTGAAATTCCCCAACTCGATCCGATATTCGCATATATAATATACACCGAATACTCGACCAATATCCGCATCGACGTTGATCCAATATTTGATCCACATGTGAATTTCTACGCGGTTTTGGAGTTGTAAATATCGAATACCAGTTATTTGAATGAATGCACAGTTTCAGAACCGTTGTGAGATCAGCTTCATTTCTGTTTTGTTCAACTTTTTTTCGGTGTTTTTTTTTTATATATAGAGATCCGATATATTTTTTATTTAGAGCGAATACCAAAGTGATGAAATGAAATTATTATTACGTTAAGCTGTATTTATTAGCTGCAACTAGTCACGGTTCTAGTCTTTTCTTTTTTTTCTTTTTTTTTTTTTTCTTTCAAACGATCGTGGCTTAATCATGGACCAATTATGAATATTATTTTGAGTTTCCAATGTTGGAGCAACGTTCGAACGAGATATATATGTTTTTTTTCTTTTTATCTTTTTTCTTTCTTTCTATCTTCCTTTTTTTCTTCCTTCCTTTCTTTCTTTTTTTCTTTCTTTCGTTTCAAAAGAAATGAGAATTGAAGCGTACAACATGTTAAATTTGTTTAATTTTCCTTCTTCTTTCCTTCTCATCTTTTCTTCTTTTCTGATTCCATCCTTATATATCTTCTCGTTCTTTTCTTATCCTTTAGTAAGCAAATAGATCCATCATCCACCTTCTTTCGAAATTACGAGACGAGAAATATATATTTGAAATATTGTAACGTGATGCAAGTGGTTGCTCGTAAGGGGTGGATAAAATAATAGAGTACGAACGAGTCTTGAGTAAGACAAGAAATTATATCGATTATAAAAAAAAAAAGGACTGATTAAATGATTTTTCTTAAAAGAGAAAAATCGTTCTCCCGCGAGCCACACTCGCGTTATGTATAATTTATTTCTGCTATTAAACATCAATTCTTATTATTATTATTATTATTATTATTATTACTATTACTATTACTATTATTATTATTATTATTATTATTATTATTATTACGTTATATTATAATATTATTATTATGTTTATAATATTATATATTATTATTATTATTATTATTATTATTATTATTCTTGTTGTTGTTGCTGTTGTTATTAATAATTATTATGTTATATTATTATTATTATTACTATTATTATTACTATTATTATTATTATTAATATTATTATTATTATTTTTATTATTA